AAAAAAAAAAAAAAAATCTTCCCAGAAGAATAAGGGCTATCAAATATAGTTATTTAAATAGCAAGGGGAAAACATTTTCTGTTAGGGAGAAAGAAGGTGAAACAAAGAATTTCTGGAGAAAACAACATCTGAAAGACAGAGGAAGGACTAGGCAGATGGCAGCGTGTGCAGAAGCATGAAAGAGAGGACATATTTAGGAAATATTAAGTTCTGTTTTAAAATTCAAATTGCTAACTGAAAAAATATAACTGAAGCCCTAAAACAGATACCATAGTTACAAATGTCTATACTTTTGATGACAAAAAGCTGATATATATATTCCATAAATTAATTTTCTTCATTTTAAAAACCATATGGAAATTTATATTTTGTTAAAAATAATGATTTGGCTTCCTAGTGAGTCCATTTCATGCATTCACTTTTTGTTTTTTTTAGGAAACAGGCTGAAAAACATGACAAATACAGATTTGCCTTTTCATAAATTTTGCAATAAATACAATATTTGCAACAAAATACACTAGACAAACTTTTCCAAAAGTAAAGAGATATTTCTTTTGGCCGGGCGCAGTGGCTCACACCTATAATCCCAGCACTTTGGGGAGGCCGAGGTGGGAGGATCACCTGAGGCCGGGAGTTCGAGACCAGCCTGGCTAACATGGAGAAACCTCGTCTCTACTAAAAACACAAATTTAGCCAGGCATGGTAGTGCATGCTTGTAATCCCAGCTACTCAGGAGCCTGAGGCAGGAGAATCGCTTGAACCAGGAAGGCAGAGGTTGTGGTGAGCCAAGATCATGCCATTGCACTCCAGCCAGGACAATAAGAGTGAAACTCAGTCTCAAAAAAAAAAGATACTCTCATCAGTATCTTAAAAAAATACTTAGCATAACAACTAGTCAATGAAACATAGCACTGTCACATGTGAAATTCCTTACCTGATAAGCACTTCTACTAAAGACCATGCTCCTTTCATGCAAGTTGGACACTGAAACAACTCTAAATAATATCTTGACATGGCTGGAGACTTCCAAGGAGGATGCAGGTGAAGAAGAGCTGACAATATATGAAAGTATCGACCAGAAAATGTATCTATGTTATCCTATTATTCAAAAATAAACAAACAAATAAAATACTATAGCTAAAATTTATTTCACTTGCTAATTCAGTCTAAAAGCAAAACAGTAACCCTGGCCTAACTTTCTTGCCAAATATATGTGTTTAGACAAATGATAGCAGATGGAAGTACCATGTTTAGCTAATTAAATACAGTAACTGAGAGAGAGGCACACTCTATGTACAGTTGATACCTGAACAACAAATTTTAACTGCATATGTTCACTTACACATGAATATTTTCCAATAAATGCAGCCTACCCTTCACATCCTTAGGTTCCACATCTGCAATTAAATGCTTTTAGTTTCATGCATTCACTTTTTATTTTTTTAGGAAACAGATTGAAAAACATGACCAATACAGATTTGCCTTTTCTTAAGTTTTGCAATAAATGCAATACATATTTGTATTTGCAACAAAATACACTAGATGAACTTTTCCAAAAGTAAAAAGATACTTCTTTTTACTACTAAATACTTTTTTAAACTAAATTTTAAAGTAAATATTTTTAGTTGCAGATGTGAAACCTATCGATGTGCTGGGATTACAGGCCTGAGCCACTGCACCTGGCCTAGTAAGAAGTTTTAATTTCCTCATATGTAAAATTAAGATAATTCCTGTCCTTGCTGTAGGATGAGATCATGTAGTTCAAAAAGGATGATATGTATGAATATATCTTATTGGTTATTATATTAATTATCTTCTGTTGCCTTCAGTAGTAAGGGAAAATTTTACAATTACCTCTAAAAGAAAGCCTTTAAAAATAAAGTATTCACAGGATGTAAAGCCTTTGGATGTGGAGGGCTGACTTCTCCCATAAGTGCGGGTTTTGAAGAACCAACTGCAGGACTTGATTATGTGCAGATTTCAGTATCTACGAAGGTCCTAAAACCAATATCCTGTGATAGCAAGGGGCAACTCTATCTATACATTGGTTAATCTTTTCTATTAACACTACCTTAGATGAAATCTAAGGCAGATGAAATATTTTCCTTTTCACAATTTTAGTGAGATTTAAGAGGTCTCAAACATTACCTGAAAGGAACTAAAGGTAAGAAACTATTCATGTAACACTCTTACTTATCACCAACATAACACACCTGATAAAGCTTAAGTCTGTTATGTTATCAAATTATTACCTTCATGAAGGGCATGATTAGAAAGCTATCTTTGAATATTTGCTCCTATTGGTTTACACAGTTTGAGTATGTTCCCAGCATGGGCAACAGAGTAAGACTCTATCTACACAAAAAATTTAAAAATTAGCTAGACATGGTCGCATGCACCTATAATCCTATAGTACTTGGGAGGCTGAGGCAGGGAGATTGCTTGAGCCTGGGAGGTTGAGGCCACAGTAGGCCATGATCACACCACTGCACTCCAGCATGAGAGACCTTGTCTTTTTTTTTTTAAACAAAGAGTATATTCATATATATATATTATAAATAAAAATACCAATGCACTAATGGAGTAATTTACAAAACGTAATTCTAGATCACTATAATCTGAATTTTATATTTGATACTTTATTGCCATAAGAAAAATTGGGTAACTTTTTTCCCCAAAACAAAATTATCTTAGAAATCCTGAAAAAATAATAAGCTATAGTACTAAGAGTAGTACCTAGTATAAAGCTGGAAAACAGAAGAGCGGTAATAAATGGGTACTGCATTTATCAGTAAAATAAAGGAAAAAAACACTGAACAAAAAAATAAACTGTAAACATACAAAAATGAGAAAATGTTCACATTTTAACATTGTTTGAAAAAAAGATTATAAACCCTTAAGGCTGCTCTTACCTGTAGAATGTTTTCTAGAAGGGCATGAAGAAGGCATACAGGAGGGAGATAGTGTGCCTGCAAAGTGGAAAGCTCCTCAATTGCTTCTTTAAAAAACTGTCCTTCTATGAGGCTTTCAATTAAATTTAATATACCTCTGGGAAATTCAGCATTTTTAACCTAAGAAAGGAAAGATTCTATGGTTCAGAAAAGAGAAAGATGAAATTCTGGAATCAAATCTTGAATTAGTAAGGAGTTTGTTTGTTTATTTACAACACAGAGTCTCACTCTGTTGCCCAGGCTGGAATGCAGTGGCATGATCTTGGCTCAATGCAACCTCTGTCTCCCAGGTTCAAGCGATTCTCCTGCCTCAGCCTCCTGAGTAGCTGGGACTACAGACATGCGCCACCATGCCTGGCTAGTTTTTGTATTTTTAGTAGATACAGGGTTTTACTATGTTGGCCAGGCTGTCTTGAATTCCTGGCCTCAGGTGATCCACCTGCCTCAGCCTCCCTAAAGTGCTGGGATTAAAGGCATGAGCCACTGCGCCTGGCCTAGTAAGAAGTTTTAATTTCCTCATCTGTAAAATGAAGCTAATTCTTGCCCTTGCTGCTGGATGAACTTATGTAGTTCAAAGAGGATGATATGTATGAACATATTTTATTAGTTGTTATATTATTTTCTGTTGCCTTCAGTAGAAAGGGAAAATACTAACTCTAAAAGAAAACCTTTAATAAGAATTTGTAGAGTTTGGTTGATAAAAAAGATAACTAAGAGTTACAACTACATAGTTCTTTAGGTGAAAATTATTTTTTGGTTTTCTTTTAAACTTAAAAATGAACTGTATTAAAATATCTTAAAATGATACAACGCCAGTTACAAGCAATATCCGTAAAAAGTGAAAACTGATTGGGAGAATCATAAAATCACTCTGAGGATGTGCATTTATATAACTCTAAGAGCTTCAGAAAATTCATTCCCCTCAGTCAAACCATTCTTAATAATAAAAGTAACTATGTTGAACAATTTGAGTGAAAAATATTCTAAAAGACTACCTGGAATAAAAAAAAAAAGTTTGGAAGAATAAATAAGGAAACAAGGGCCTCAAGCCCCATTCTCTCCCTAAATTAACAATGGACTGGATATACGTGTTGTGGGTTTATTTTGTTCTGAAATGAAAGTATGTAAAATAAAGGTATCATTTTATTTAAATAACAATATAAAATAAATACACTTTTGTAAATATCATACCAAAATTTTTAATCTAAAAGTAGTCACTATGAAAGTTAGGAAACATGAGAACAGGGATATATATTTCACCTGTCATAAACACAAGGTGTGTTTTTAACATTTGTGATCATCTTTTACTAATATATGGAAATTTTTTTGGAGTTTTGACAGAATATTTGTATCATTTCTGATTAGAGAAACTGTATTTCATATGTGATAGACAGCTTTGTTGTACACACATTACTTTTCATCAAAAAAAAATGACTAATAATAACAAAACACCATGCTGCTTCTTTCCCCCTCCATCACCAATGCTACTGCAGGCTCCTTACCTCTATATTGTACACCAGCTGTTTATCTATTCTAATGCAGTTGTGTCTAAAAGCCTACAAAAGAGCAACCATATAATTAAAACAACATTTTAAGATTGACAAATACATTTTGGCTTCCCAAAGCCTTGGAATAACATATAAAACAGATAAAGGAAGACATTAATACCTATAATTAATATGATGCGCATATTTACTCAAAATAGCAACTTTTACTATTTTAGGGTAATGGCACTCTCACAACTATGAACATTTCTGTTTTCTCCTTCTGAATTACAATAATAAAGTCATATTCACTTTGAAGATCTGAAGAGGTCCATTATCCTTCGTATCATAATTATTAGAAATATAAATGGGGAGAGCATTTTGCACAAGGGTACACAGGAGAAAAAAACATCAGTTATGTTTGCTATACAACCATATGTAAAATCTACCTTATTGTTTTAAAACACCTATAATTGCACATTTAAAAGATTATCCTGGAAAAATATCTGCAACCAATATAAAAAAAGAGATAATACACTGAGGCTGAGAGTGGTGGCTCATGCCTGTAATCCCATCACCTTGGGAGTCCGAGGTGGGCAGATCACCTGAGGTCAGGAGTTTGAGACCAGCCTGGCCAACATGGCAAAACCTCATCTCTATTAAATATACAAAAATTAGCCAGCTGTGGCGGCAGGTGCCTGTAATCCCAGCTACTCTGGAGGTTGAGGCAGGAGAATTGCTTGAACCTGGAAAACAGAGGTTGCAGTGAGCTGAGATGGCACTACTGCACTCCAGCCTGGGCAACAGGGCAAGACCCTGTCTCAAAAAAGCCAAACCAAAACAAAAAAAGATAATTCCCTAGAAGAAGGGGTCTTCAAGATGGCTGACACTCAAGAGATGTTTGGCACTCACCTCTTCCACAAAGGACTTAAACAGTGAACAGATAATCACACATTGAATAGGGTGTCTTAAGAGAAAAACATTACAATTTAAAAGTGACAGGGAATCTCTGAGGCAAGCAAAGACAGAGAAGCAAAGCAGCTGGCTCATATTGAACTGGCTGGGAGCCAGGAGAAACTACTCACTACGAATGGGAAAAAGAGAGATCTACACAGGTCCACATTACCAATGTCAATTCCTGCAATCCTAGATACAGGAGAGCCCCTTAGTCCTCACAGGCCCAGAGACTAGTTTAGGAAGTTCCCTGGAGCACACTCAATGGCATTATTCCAAAGACAGAGTACATGCTAAGTCCCACAAAATCTGCTGGCAGCCAAGAGGCTGCAGCATGGTGCCATTTTGAAAGCCCAGACACTACCAGACTACATCCTGCTCTGGAGTCCAACAGTTCCTGCATATCCACAAGCCAGAAGCCCCACTGATGTTTCTGTCCACCCAGAGAGCTGCAGTTTCATGATTTCAGCTGGAGTCAACAATGCAACTAGGTCACCAGCACTCTCACCTACACAATGTCCTATATCCTGAGGAGTAGGAGGTGCAGTGCACCAGGGAGGCTGCCCTGGGGACAAAAGGAGCCAAAGCAGGAGCTCCTCAGATCCTGAGAACCACCTGCCTGGGGCCCCTGGTACTGGCAGAAACCCTGTGGCACAGGGTTTCTGTGTGTTTAAAACCCTGCCCAGCAACAGTGTCATCATGCACTTGCATGTGGCTTTAGGAGGCCTGAGAACTGGCCCACTGTGGGTTGTCCCAGGGCTTAAAGATAGATCCACTCTGCCTGCTACTGGTGCCCACGAGAGCTATCTGGAAACCTGAAGAGAGGCCTACCCCACCCACCACCACTGTGTAAATGCATCATAGAAAGACGTGGGGATCAGACTGCCTTGTCTGCTGAGGCCAGAGCCTGCAGGAACTATCAGGGGGCCTAAGGAGAGGCCCACCACACACTGACTACTGGCACCAGCACCAGAGCCCAAGTACACTACCAGGGGGCATGGGTATCAACCCATCCCTGTCCAACACTCCTGGTGCCTGTGCACACTATCAAGAGGCCAGATAACAGGCCTACCTGGCCCAATGCAATAGCCGCCTGAACCTGTTGTCATGAGGCCTATGAACAGACCTGCTTCACTCACCACAGCTGGTACCCACACCTATCGTCAGGGGCCTAAGAACACATTTGCCCCACATGCAGCCTCTGGCAATGCCATCTGCACTTGTCGTCCAGTGACATCGGGATCAATGTACCTGATCACCAACCAGGTGCCCAAATACACCATCTGGGGGCCTACAACAGCCCACTCTGCCAACTGCCACTGCTGCTGGGGCCCCAGCACATCACCTGAAACCTTGGATCGACTAATCACACCAGCTACCAGGAGCGCCTATGCACACAACTAGGGGGATCGAAGGATGAGCATGTCAAGCTGCTGCTGCTGGTAACCACCCACATGTGCTCCTGGTCTGCTCAGCCTATTGCCACTACTGCTGGCACCCATGTTTGCTGCTCGGGGACCTGAGGATTGGCTTGCAACCACTACAGCCATCACCAATGCCATGCACGCCAAACAGAAACCTGAGGACCCACCCAACCCACTGCTGTCACCACTGGCACCCAAGCAAGCCAGCAGGAGGCACAGGGATTGGCCTACCCAGACCTGCTATGACTAGTGTCCAAGTATATTGCCGAGGGACCCAAGAACCAGCATGCACAGCCTGCTGCCACCACCACTGCTATCCAAGGACGACCTGCCTGTGTCCACATCCCCAGCAATGTTTCATTATAGCCTACACTAACGAATGCAGCCTAAGCCACTGACAAACTCAAAGACAACACCGTGGATGACTACAGATGAAAAAATCATATGGATACTACACTAATGTGCCCACATCTGGCAAAACTAAAGCACTCTATCCAAGCAACACTACAGATACAACTATAGAAAAAAGTCTTTCCCTATGAAAGCCAATCCACAAAATTTGAAGTGACTGTAACTATACAAGAAAGGTGAAAAAGCAAGAAAACATGGCACCTGTAAAGGAATACAATAATTCTCCAGCCATAGATTCCAACAAAAAGGAAACCAATAAAATTCCTGGAAAAAAAAGGTAGTATGAAAAAATTTGGTGAGATACAAAAAAACACAGAAAAACAATAGAAAGTAAGCAGGAAAATAATTCATAATCTCAATGAGAAATTCAATAAAAAGATATCATAGAAAAGAACCAAATAGAAATCCTGAAATTTGAGAATTCAATGAATAAAATAAAAAATTAACAGAGAGCTTCAGCAATAGACTAGATCAAGCAGAATAAACTATTTCTAAACTTGAAGACAGGTATTCTGAAATACAGACAAAAAGAAAAAAAAAGCCCAAATGACATATGGGAAGCCATAAAGTGATGAGATATTTCAAATTTTGAGAGTTCCAGATGGAGAAGAGATGGGTAAACACATAGAAAACCTATTTTAAAAACAATAACTGAAAACTTCCCCAAGTCTTTTAAGAGCTATTGTCAAATAGATTCAATCCTCACAGGTCTCCAAGGCACATTATACTCAACTTATCAGAAGTCAAAGACAAAGAAAGACTTCCAAAAACATCAAGAGAAAAAGCATAAAGCCATATACAAGGAAATCCCAATTAGGGTGACAACAGATTTCTCAGCAGAATCTTATAAGCCAGGAAAGAATAAGATGACATATTCATAGTGTTCAAAGGAAAACAACGACAACAACAAAACCCAATTCAACAGGCAAGAATACTACACCCAGAAAAGCTATCCTTCCAAAATAATGGAGAAATAGTCTTTCCTGGACAAGCAAAAACTGAGAGAATTCATTACCAACACACTGACCACACAAGAAATGTTTACACAAGTTCTACAACTAGAAGCAAAAGGATGATATCCACCATCATGGAAACACAAGAAAGTATAAACCTCACTGTAGAGCAAATATACAAATGAGAAAAGAGCCAAATGTTACCAATACAAAAAACAAAACAAACAAACAAAAAAACCACCCAACTGTAATGATAAACAAAAAAGAAACGAATAAAAGACACACAACTGACAAAATGACAGGAATAAGTCCTCATCCATAATAACAACCTTTAATGTAGACGAATTAAATTCTCCACTTAAAAGATACAGACTGGCTACACATATATATAAAAAAAGCAGTGTGTCACATATAAAAAACTCTCTCCACCTCTTAAAACACATAAAGACTGAAACTGAGGAAGAATGGAAAAAGATATTCCATAAGAATGGAAACCAAAGTGGGCAGCAGTAGCTATACCTACATCAGAAAAAAACACTGAGTTAAAAACTGTAAATTAAAAAAAAAAGAGGGCCATTAAATACTGATAAAAAGATCAATTTCACAAGAAGATATAACAATTCTAAACACCTATGTACCCACCTTGGAGCACCCGGTTATATAAGAAAAATATTATTGGATCTAAAGAGAGACAGAAGCTCAATACCACTAATAGTTGGGGACATTAATACCCCATTCTAAGCATTGGACACCTTATCAAAACAGAAAATCAAAAACAAACATTGGATTTAGACTGTACTTTAGAATCGATGAACCTAACAGACATTTAGAGAATACTTTATCTAACAGCTGCAGAATACACATTCTTCTCATCAGTATATGGGACATACTTCAAGGTAGACATTTAGGCCACAAAACAAGTCTCAACAAATTTGAAAAGATCTGAAGTCACACCAAGTATCTTTCTCAGACAACAACGGAATAAAACTAAATATCAGTAAGAGAAACTTTGGAAACTGTACAAATACATGTAAATAAATAAAGATGCTCCTAAATGACCATTGGGTCAATGACATAATTGAGAAGGAAATAAAACATTTCTTATAACAAATAAAAATGGGCGGACTTCCGCCAAGATAGCTCAATAGGAACAGCTCCAGTCTGCAGTTCCCAGTGAGAGTGAGCCAGAAGGTGAGTGATCTTCACATTTCCAACTGAGGTACCAGGTTCATCTCATTGGGACTGGTTAGACAGTGGGTATAGCTCAAGGAGGGCAAGCCAAAGCAGGGTGGGGTGTTGCCTGACCCGGGAAGTGCAAGGGGCCAGAGAACTCCCTCTCCTAGCCAATGGAAGCCATTAGGGACTTTCTAGACACTCTGGCACTCTGGCTCAGATACTGTGCTTTTCCCAATCGTCACAACCCACAGACCAGGAGATTCCCTCCGGTGCCTACAACACCAGCACCCTGCGTTTCTAGCACAAAACTGGGTGGCCGTTTTAGCTGCAGCTGTTTTGTTTTTTTCCTCATACCCCAGTGGTGCCTGGAATGCCCGCGAGACAGAACCATTCAGTCCCCTGAAAAAAGGGGGCTGACGCCAGGGAGCCAAGTGATCTGGTTTGGTGGGTCCCACCCTAACGAACACCAGCAAGCCAAGATCCACTGACTTGAAATTCTCGCAGCCAGCATAGCAGTCTGAGCTCGATGGGGGTGGGGGTGTCTGCCATTGCCGAGGCTCGGGTAGGCAGTTTTAATCTCGCCTGTTTAAACAAAGTCACCTGGAAGTTTACACAGCAACTAGGTGGAGCCCATGGCAGCTCAGCAAGGCTTCTGTTGGCAGACAGTGACAAGACTCCATCCTTGCTGGGCAGGGCATCTCTGAAAAAAGGCAGCAGCCCATCAGGGACTTATAAATAAAGCCCCTATCTTCCAGGGAAAGACCACCTGCTACAAGGGGTGGTTGTGGGCTCTACTTCAGCAGACTTAAATGTCCCTCACTGGCAGCTCTGAAGGGAAAAACAGATCTCCCAGCACAGCACTTGAGCTCTGGTAAGGGGCAGACTGCCTCCTCAAGTGGCTCCCTGATGCCCTATAACCAAAGAGAAACCTCATAGAGGAGAACTCTGGCTGACATCTGGCAGATACCTTTCNATCTCCCAGCACAGCACTTGAGCTCTGATAAGGGACAGACTGCATCCTCAAGTGGATCCTTGACCCCCATATATCCTGACTGGGAGACACCTCATATAGGAGAGCTCTGGCTGACATCTGGTGGGTACCCTTCTGGGAAGAAGCTAACAGAGGAAGGAACAGGCAGCAATCTCTGCTGTTCTGCAGCCCCTACAGGTGATTCCCAGGCAAGCAGGATCTGGAGTGGACTGCCAGCAAACTTCAGCAGACCTGCAGCTGAAGGACCTGTTAGAAGGAAAACTAAAAAAACAGAAAGAAATAGCTTCAACAACAACAGAAAGTACATCCACTCAGAGACCACATCCAAAAGTCACCAACTTCAAAGAGCAAAGGTAAGCAAATCCACGAAGATAAGAAACCAGTGCAAAAAGGCTGACATCACCAAAAACCAGAACGCCTCTTCTCTTCCAAGGGATCACAACTCACCAGCAAGGGGAACAAAACTGGATGGAGAATGAGTTTGATGAATTGACAGAAGCATAGGGTAATACAAACTTCTCTGAGCTAAAGGAGCGTGTTCTAACCCAGTGCAAGGAAACTTAAGAACCTTGAAAAAAGGTTAGATGAAATACTAACTAGAATAACCAGTATAGAGAAGAACATAAGTGACTTGATGGAGCTGAAAAACACAGCACAAGAACTTCATGAAGCATATACAAGTTTCAATAGCCGAACCAATCAAGTGGAAGAAAGGATATTAGAGCTTGAAGACAAACTCAATGAAATGAAGCAAGAAGGCAAGATTAACGAAAAAGGAGTGAAAAGAAAGAACAAGGCCTCCAAGAAATATGGGATTATGTGAAAAGACTAAATCTATGTTTGATCGGTGTACCTAAAAGTGAAGGGGAGAATGAAACCAAGTTGGAAAATACTCTTCAGGATATTATTCAGGAGAGCTTCCCCAATGTAGCAGGTCAGGCCCACATTCAAATTCAGGAAATACAGAGAAGACCACAAAGATATTCCTAGAGATGAGCAACCCCAAGGCACATAATCGTCAGATTCACCAGGGCTGAAATGAAGGAAAAAATGCTAAGGGGAGCCAGAGAGAAAGGTCATGTTACCCACAAAGGGAAGCCCATCAGACTCACAGTGGATCTCTGAGCAGAAACCCTACAAAGTCAGAATAGAGTAGGGGTCAATATACAACATCCTTAAAAGAATTTGCAACCTAGAATTTCAAATCCAGCCACACTAAGATTCATAAGCGAAGGAGAAATAAAATCGTTTACAGATAAGCAACTGCTGAGAGATTTTGTCACCACCAGGCCTGCCTTACAAGAGTTCCTGAAGGAAGCACTAAACATGGAAAGGAACAATCAGTACCAGCCACTGCAAAAATGTAACAAATTGTAAAGACCATCAACACTATGAAGAAGCTGCATCAACTAACAAGAAAAACAACCACCTAGCATCAAACTGGCAAGATTAAATTCACACATAATAATATTAACCTTAAATGTGAATGAGTTAAATGCCCCAATCAAAATACACAGACTGGCAAATTGGATAGAGTCAAGAACCATCTGTGTGCTGTATTCAGGAGACCCATCTGATGTGCAAAGATACTCATAGGCTCAAAATAAAGGGATGGAGGAAGATTTCCCAAGCAAATGAAGAGAAAGAAAAAAAAAAAAAGCAGTGGTTGCAAATCTAGTCACTGATAAAACAAACTTTAAACCAAAAAAAAAGATTAAGAGAGACAAAGAAGGGCATTACATATGGTAAAGAGATTAATGTAACAAGAGCTAACTATTCTAAATATATATACACCCAATACAGGAGCACCCAGATACATAAAGCAAGTTCTTAATGTCCGAAAAAGAGATTTTGACTCCCACAGAACAATAGTGGGAGACTTTAACACCCCACTGTCAATATTAGACAGATCAACAAGACAGAAAATTAACAAGGATATCCAGGGTTGAACTCAGATCTGGACCAAGTGGACTTAATAAACGTCTACAGAATTCTCCACCCCAAATCTACAGAATATGCATTATTCTCTGCACCACATGGCACTTATTCTAAAACTGACCACATAAATGAAAGTAAATCACTCCTCAGCAAATGCAAAAGAACGGAAATTGTAATAGTCTCTCAGATCACAGTGCAATCAAATTAGAACTCAGGATTAAGAAACTCACTCGAAACCACACAACTAAATGCAAACAGATCAACCTGCTCCTAAATGACTCTAGGATAAATAATGAAATGAAAGCAGAAAAAAAGACGTTCTTCAAAACCAGTAAGAACGAAGATACAATGTACGAGAATATCTGGGATACATTTAAAGCAGTGGCTGGAGGGAAATTTATACACTAAATGCCCACAAGAGAAGCAAGGAAAGGTGTGTCTAAAATTTAAAATCGATACTCTAATGTAATGATTAAAAGAACTAGAGAAGCAAGATCAAACAAATTCAAAAGCTAGCAGAAGACAAGAAATAACTATGATCAGAGCAGAACTGAAGGAGATAGAGACACAAGAAACCCTTCAGAAAAATCAATAAATCCAGGACCTGTTTTTTTAAAAAAGATCAACAAAATAGATAGACCACTAGCCAGACTAATAGAAAAGAGAGTAGAATCAGAAGATGGCCGAGTAGGAGCAGCTCTGGATTGCACCTTCCAGCAAGAGCATGGAGGGTGAGTGGTCACCACATTTCCAGACAGATTTTTATTGCCCACAGACAAGGAAGATTCCCGGGCAGAAGAGCGCCACAGGTCTTCAGTGTGGCTGTTTTGGCCAGCCCGGCGGGTCTCCACACAAAAAACTCACACGGGTCCAGGCGCCATTTCAGCTGGTGACTGGAATGCCTGAGAGACAGAGTCACCATTCAACTGATAAAAAGGGGACTGAAATAGAGAGCCAGGTCAGGAGATTCCTGGGTGAAAAAGTGCCACGAGCCTCCAATGTGTCTGTTTCAGCTGGTGTAGCAGGTCTCTGCACAAGAACTCACATAAATTAGGGTGCCCTTTCAACTGGTTACTGGAACCCCTGGGACACGGAGTCGCCCATTCAACTGAAAAAAAAAGGGGGTCTAAGGCAGGGAGCCAGGTGATCCGGTAAAGCTGGTCCCACCCCCACGAAGACCAGCAATCTAAAACAATCTGGATTGAGAGTTTCACAGCAAGCTCAGCTGAACTTGGGACCATCCAGCTATGCGGGGGAGGGGCATCTGACATTACCGAGGCAGCCCACCACTACAAAGGTAGTTGGCCCTTGCCGAGACAGTCCACCATTACTGAGGCAGTCCACCATTACAGAGAGAGTCTGCCATTACGGTGGCAGGCAGCCATTGCCGGGGCAGTTCTAACTATACCCCTATAAACAGGACTGCAGGGAAATTCACAAGGCAGCTGGGCGGACCCCACAGCAGCTCAGCAATGCCTTTGTTGGCAGACTGTGACTAGGCTAACTCCTTGCTGGGCAGGGTATCCCTGAAAAAAGGCAGCAGCATGACAGAAACTTATAAATAAAGCCTTACCTTCCCGGGACAGAGCACCTCGGAAAAAAAAAAAAACGTGGTTATGAGTTCTGCTGCAGCAGACTTAAACATACCTACCCAGAAGCTCTGAATGGAACAATGGAGCTCACAGCTCTGCACTTAAGCTCCTATATAGGACAGACTGTCTCCTCAAGCAACTCCTGGACTCCTGTAGATCCAAAGAGTAGATCATAAAAGAGAGCTCAGACTGATATCTGGCAGGTATCCTTCTGGGACAAAGATAGCAGAAGAAGAAACTGGCAGCAAACCTTACTGTTCTGCAGCCACTGCAGGTGACCTCCAGGGAAGCACGGTCTGGAGTGGACCTTCAGCAGTCCTACAGCAGAGGGGCATGATTATTAGAAGGAAAACTAAGAAATAGAAATAAGTAACTTCATCATGAACAAACAGGACTTCCACTCAGAGACCCCATCTGAAAGTCACCAACTACAAAGACCACACGTAAATAAATGCACAAAGATAGGAAGAAACCAGCACAAAAAGTATCAAAACACCAGAAACCAGAACACCTCTCCTCCTACAAGGGATCACAGATCCTCACCAGCAAGGGAACAAGGCTGGATGGAGAATGAGTCTGATGAACTGACAGAAGCAGGCTTCAGAAGGTGGGTAATAGAACCATCTGTGAGCTAAAAGAACATGTTCTAACCCAATGAAAAGAAACTAAGAACCTTGAAAAAAGGTTTGACAAAATGCTAACGAGAATAAACAGCTTAGAGAGGGATATAAATGAATTGATGCAACTGAAAAACATAACACGAGAACTCTGTAAAACATACACAAGTTTCAAGAGCCAAATTGACCAAGCAGAAGAAGGGATATCAGAGGTCGAAGATCAACTCAATGAAATAAAACAAGAAGGCATGATTAGAGAAAAAACAGTAAAAAGAAACGAACATAGCCTCCAAGAAATATGGGATTATGTGAAAAGACCTATCTATGTTCGATAGGTGTATCTGAATGTGATAGAGAGAATGAATCCAAGCTGGAAAACACTCTTGAGGATATTATTCAGGAATACTTCCCCAAACTAGCAAGGCAGGCCAACAATATTCAAGTCCAGGAAATACAGAGAACATCACAAAGATATTCCTCAAGAAGAGCAACCCCAAGACATACAATCGTCAGATTCACATGGGCTGAAATGAAGGAGAAAATGCTAAGGGCAGCCAGAAAGGAAGGTCTGGTCACCCACAAAGGGAAGCCTATTAGACTCACAGTGGATCTCTCAGCAAAAATCCTAAAAGCCAGAAGAGTAGGGGCCAATATTCAACATCTTTAAAGAAAAGAACTTTCAACCAAGAATTTCATAGCCAGCCAAACTAAGTCTCACAAGCGAAGGATAAATAAAATCCCTTACAAACAAGCAATTACTCAAAGATTTCATCACGATCAGGCCTGCTTTACAAGAGCTCCTGAAAGAAGCACTAAACATAGAAAGGAACAAACAGTATCAGCCACTCCAAAAGCATACCAAATGATAAAGAGCATCAACACAATGAAGAAACTGCATCAACTAACGGCAAAACAACCAGCTAGCATCAAAATGGCAGGATCAAATTCAAACATAACAATATTAACCCTAAATGTAAATGGGCTAAATGCCCCAATCAAAAGACACAGACTGG